AGAGAGAGAGAGAGAGAGAGAGAGAGAGAGAGAGAGAGAGAGAGAGAGAGAGAGAGAGAGAAAGAGAGAGAGAGAGAGAGCATTGAGCACCAAGGAGATCAGCAAAGGAGCGAACACGCGCACCGACGACCGGCGAGCACACGCGCCAGTGGCCGTGGGCGGCAACCGAAAACCGGGCGCGCGGCCACGAGAGAAGGTTAACCGACCCCCCATTTTTCAGGTCAATTTATAAGAACCCCCAAACCCTAATTTCAGTTTTGGTCCCATTAGTCAGGAGCGTCCCCGTTAACCATTTGTGGTTACCGGCGACGGCCCAGATCGCAGGCGGATCAGAAAACTTTCTGATCGCAGGCCGATCTGGGCCGTCGCCGGTAACGGTACCGGCCTGCGATTCAGGCCGTACGATAAGAAATAGCGATTCTTATAGTATTGTAGATGTAGATGTAGATGTAGATGTAGATGGAACTTCATTTAATGCTGTTGGTATTGGACAATAACCAGACCGTACAATACCGCAATGCACCGGACTGGACCAGACCAGACGAGACCAAACCAAACCCCAACGAACCAAACCAAATCAAACCAAACCAAACCAAACCAAACCAAACCAAACCAGAGCCGAGCAAAGCAGAGCAGAGCAGAGCAGGGCAAAGCAGGGCTGAGCAGGGCAGAACAGGGCAGAACAGGGCAGAGCAGAGCAGGCCAAGGCAGGGCAAGAGAAGGCCCGGCCAAGCCAGGCCAAGCCAGGCAGAACAGGGCAGAGCAGAGCAGGCCAAGGCAGGGCAAGAGAAGGCCCGGCCAAGCCAGGCCAAGCCAGGCCAAGCCAGGCCAGGCCAGGCCAGGCCAGAATACACCAAACCAAAACAAACCAAAGCAGACGAACAGAACTGACCAAACCCAAACCAAACGAAAGGAAACCAAGCCAAACCATCCAGACCAAAACAAACCAAGCCAAGCCAAACCAATCAAACCAGACCAAACCATACCAAACCAGAACAAAACAGACCACATTAGAACGTAGCAGAGAAGAAGAGCACAGCTCGACACGACACAGCACGGCACGGCATGACACGGCACAGCACGGCACGGCACGGCACGACACGGCACGGCACGGAACGGCACAGCACAGCACGGCACAGCAGAACACCAAGGACAGAGATCCGTTGGGCAGATCTCAAATAAACATCATCCATCTGAAAACACTTACAATTGTGAGCCATTAGAGTGAGGTCCAGAGTTCGCCATACTGACAATGCCACGACCAGTATGAAGCAGCTTTGAATTGAGCTCATCTTTGAATGGCTGCAAYCGAAAAGAAAACACAGTCAGCACAGGCTTATTTACTATTCACAGAAACTGACAGAACACAGCGAGCTTCCACATGTTCTCGCAAAAAACACGTGTTCTTCTCATCCGACGCATTTACCGCTGCCAAGAGACCTATGAATGAACATTTACAGCTGCTGGAAGCAGAAAAGGAAGGCCTCCATCTCTCCAAGAAGCGTTGAGCGGAGGGTGACTGCCTTGGCACAGTAGCAGCATCCGTGCTCAAGAGGAGTGTACAGCAGGGGGACAGTTGACGTCTTCAGGACGCTCCTGCCCAAACCCTGCCGGTTAACCAGGGTGGACACTCCTCTTCCCGCTCCCGGCACTTCTCTCTGCCTGGGTTTCTGCCCCTCTCCTTCCTTCACGCATCTCTTGGAGCCTCTCCCTCTGCCTCTCTATCTGCTGCCCCCTACTCCACCCCCCCTCTCTCTCTCTGTGGGGGCCCAGGGGGGGGGGGGAGGGGAGAGAGAGAGAGAGAGAGAGAAGCTGGAAACGACAGCGTACTGTGATAGACCAGGTGGACGACCACTTCTTACTTTTTTCCAAACAGATT